ACGCATGCCAGGCGAGTGCGCTACCACTTGAGCCACATCCCCAGCCCCTTTATATATTCTAGATTCAATTCCCTTATTAGATACATGATTACAAATATCTTCTCCCATTCGTTGAGTTGATGTTCAACCCAAATGGAAAAACAATTAAATTATATGGAATAATAAATATAGAGAAAATCTAGGAGAGTCTATACCAAGGTTTGCAAACTGACAGACATTCACATCTTAATTTTATACATTTACATTTTTAATTCACATATTTTTAGAAAAAAATTCAATAAAAAATTTAAAACTTTTATATATGTGTGAAAGTATATTTCATAAAAGTACACAAGAGCCTAGTGGGCTGGCACACTCCTTAATCCCAGCAATTTAGGAGGCTAAGGCAGGAGGATCACAAGTTTGAGACCTCAGCAACTCAGTGAGGCCCTATCTCAAAATTTAAAAAAGGACAAGGTGTGTGGCTCAGGAGCCAAGCACCCCTGGGTTAAATCCCCAGTACTCAAATAAATAAATAAATGTACACAATTAAAATATATTAAGTGAATTTATGTTATTTGTTAGAAAAAATCAGTTATTTTATAGTTTTTCCTTTGTGGAAACCTCCTCATGGAAATTAATTACTTATATATTAAGTATGTGCCATAACATTGTTAACATCAAAAAAGATATTTGTGTTTTTTACCAGATATTGTTCCTGGGATCGGAATATATTTATGAATAAAACAGATGTGGTCCCTGCTGTCCTATAGCTTATGTGGTTCAAAAGAGAGGCATTTGGGGGGGCTGGGGTTGTGGCTCAGCAGTAGAGCGCTTGCCTAGCATGTATGAGACACTGAGTTCAACCCTCAGCACAACATAAAAATAAAATAAAGGTATTGTGTTCAACTAAAACTAAAAAACAAAATATTAAAAAAAAAAGATAGAGGCATTTGGTATGTTAGACAAAGCCAAGACTTTAGTTCAAGTCCTGTACTTAAATACATTTAGTTATTTAATTATAGAGATATATATTATGCTTCTTTGTTATACATATTGTCCAATTATTTTTTAATATTTATTTTTGAGTTGTAGTTGGACACAATACCTTTATTTTATTTTATTTATTTATTTTTATTTGGTGCTGAGGATCGAACCCAGGGCCTCTCACATGCTTGCTAGGCGAGCGTTGTATCCCTGAGCCACAACCCCAGCCCTGTCTATTTCTTTTACATAAAATATTTTGGCATAAAAACAGAATATTTTTCAGAGAAAGAAAAGGCATTAGAAGCTTTATCATTTTGTTTTCTTGCCTTCCAAGGGAGTTACCTTCAGAACTACAAGGAATTTTTGATAAAGAAGAGGTGGATGTTAAAGTTGAAGATAAAAAAAGTGAACTTTGTGTGTCTACAAAGCCTGTGTTCCAACCCTTCTCAGGACAGGGTCACAGACTGGGAAGGTAAGTGTGTCTATTATCTGCCTTTGCCATAAGCAGAGGCTTGACTAATATTGATTTTGACATTATTTTACACATGTAGACACATGTATATAACTTACCATTTCTCCTACTAGAAATGAGTTTTTTTTTTTTTAAAGAGAGAGAGAGAGAGGGAGAGAGAGAGAATTTTAATATTTATTTTTTAGTTTTCGGCGGACACAACATCTTTGTATGTGGTGCTGAGGATCGAACCTGGGCCGCACGCATGCCAGGCGAGCGCGCTACCGCTTGAGCCACATCCCCAGCCCGAGAAATGAGTTTTTTATGTGAGTTTTTATGGAGATTCCTAAGTCACATTTACTTTAGTGATATTAAAATAGGCTGGCACTAATCACAGAGACTTTTCCTGGTTTTATCAGGTCAAAAGAGCCTGGCCTATTTAGGACAAAATTGTATAAATCATTTACTTTCCCTTTTACCACCAAGCTTTGCCATTAGTGCTACAGAGTACCTATGCTAATTTTTCAATATTACAATTCTATTTTTTCCCCAGTACTGAAAAAGAAAATTTAAAGAAAAGAAAGCTAGGCACAATAGCACTCACCTATAATCCCAGCTACTCAGGAGACTAAGGCAAGGGAATCAGAAGTTCAAGGGCAGCTTGGGCAATTTAGCAAGACCCTGTCTCACAATCAAAAGGGTTGGGGATATAACTTAGTGGTGGAGTGCACCTGTGTTCAATCCATGGTGCTGCCCAAAAAAAGAAAAAAGGAAAAGTCTGATAACGTTAATATTGACACAAAAGCCTTTAATTATTTCAGTTTTCCATTTTTATCATATCTAACTATACCTTATGATGGAATTACTACAGTTAGATATAGGATCACTTTGGTTTTTATGATTTCTCATATTTTAATTATCAAGATTGGTAAAATGCACTCTGGTCGTGCTGGCTCACGCCTATAATCCCAGCAGTTTGGGAGACTGAGTAAAGAGGATCGTGAGTTCAAAGCCAGCCCCAGCAATTTAGTGAATGCTATCTCAGAATAAAAAATAAAAAGGGCTGGAAATGTAGCTTACTGGTAAAGCACCCCTGGGGTCAGTCCTACCAAACAATACAAAAATGGTAAAGTGCATACATATTCATTCATACATAGAAAAATACCTAGATGTGTCTTTCAAAATACTCTGTTTCCTTTTCCTTTATAACCCAAGAACTATATCTATAGAGAACTTGTAATTTCTTTTACAAATTTATTCTAGGCAGTAGGTAAAGCTAAAGTCTATAGATACATCAACCCTGTAAAATTACTATACTGTAAAGCATTATTCAAATAATACTAGCAGCAGTTTATTTATATAGCACTTTTTAAGCTTACATATTAATTAAGTATTCATAATTTCATTAAATTCTTAGAATCATTATATATTATGGACATAATTAGTATATGTTTATGTTGTTATTAGGGAAATAGTTAATGACTTATAGTTAAAGTCTTTCTAAAAGTAAAGTTTTTATAGTAATGGAAAAACTTGTGTCTGACTTTGTTGTCTGGATTTTCTTAGTGCCACACCAAAAATTGTTTCTAAAGCAAAGAGTATTGAAGTTGAAAATAAAAATAATTTGTCTACTGTTTCACTGAACAACTTGGAGCCCATCACTAATATACAGATCTGGTTAGCCAATGGGAAAAGGATTGTCCAGAAATTCAATACATCTCATAGGTGAGTCTTCCGGGTCAGTATTTGCCTGATTTTTTTTTTTCCAAATTTAAATTTCATTTCTTTTAAGATTAGTCAACAGTAATTTTTAAGAACTAATGAAGGTTTTTTTTTGGGGGGGTGGCTGGGGATGTGGCTCAAGCGGTAGCGTGCTCGCCTGGCATGCGTGCGGCCCGGGTTCGATCCTCAGCACCACATACAAGCAAAGATGTTGTGTCCGCCAAATACTAAAAAATAAATATTAAAATTCTCTCTCTCTCTCCCTCTCTCTCACTCTTTCTTTTAAAAAAAAAAAACTAATGAAGGGTTTTTTTGTTGTTGTTTTTGTTTTTGTAGTTGGACAAGTACTTTTATTTTATTTACTTATTTTTATGTGGTATTGGGGATCAATCCCAGGGCCTTGCACATGCTAGGCGAGCACTCTACCGCTGAGCCACAATCCCAGCCCCATAATGAATGATTTTAATGAATAGTCTTCCAAATTTAATATGTCAAGACAAAGGAAACTGTTGGACATTAATGAAATACTTTTAATTTGTTTTAAGAATTTTCATGCTGGTCATTTGATTAGTTTCCTGTTTTAAAGGAATTATTTTTAATGTGTTTTAAAATCAGTCATAAGCATCATTTGCAAACCAGGAATGGTAGCATATACCTAAAGTCCCAGCTACTCTGGAGGCCAAGACAGAGGATCACTTGAGCCCAGGAATTTAAGAGTAGCCCGGGAAGCATAGTGGATCCCATCTCAAAAAAAGAAAGAAAGAAAACAATAAGCATTATGTATATATTTTCCTGTTAATTGTAGTAAAAGAGTGCAAATAAGAAAAGTATTGAAAGAAATTAAAGTCAATATAAATTTCACCACTTAAAGATAACCAGTATTATTAGATCAAGTAATTCTTATTTAGTCTTATCTCTCTTAACAGAAGTTTCCTGAGGCAGAGACAGGAGGATTGCTAGTTCAAGATCAACCCTAGGCTGGATGTGGTGGCAGGGGCCTATAATTCCAGTGACTCAGGAGGCTGAGGCAGAAGGATCACAAGTTCAGGCCAACATAGGCAGCTAAGTAGGACCTTGCCTCAAAATAAAAAATAAAAAGGTCTGGGGGTGTAGCTCAGTGCTAAAGCACCCTTACCCGAATACCACAAAAAAGGGGGGGTTCTCATCTTAATTAAAAGTAGAGGGGCTGGGAGTGTGTAGCTCTTAGTTGGACATGTGCTTAGCATGTGTAAGACTCTGATTCGCAGCACTGCAAAAAAAAAAGAAAGAGAAAAAAATGCATATATAGTTTTCCTTTTCCTTTTTTGGTGACAGGGATTGAACCCAGGGGCATTTAACCACTGAGCCACATCCCCAACCTGTTTTATTTTTTGAAACAGGTTCTTGCTAAGTTGATGAGGCCAGCTCTGAACTTATTTTATTTATTTATTTATTTATTTATTTATTATTTTTATTTTTTTTTGAGAGAGAGAGAGAGAGAGAGAGAATTTTTTTAATATTTATTTTTTAGTTTTTGGCGGACACAACATCTTTGTTTGTATGTGGTACTGAGGATCGAACCCGGGCTGCATGCATGCCAGGCGAGCGCGCTACCGCTTGAGCCACATCCCCAGCCCCAGATTTTTTTTTTTTCAAATGTAGCCATAATACCCTTGTCATACCTAAGAAAACTAATAGTAATTCCTTCCTACCGTCAGATATATAGGGTCAACCTTTAAAAGGATAGTCCTAGGCTAGATATGTAGCTCAGTAGTAGATCTTTTCCTTCCCTAGCATGTGCAGGACCCTGGGTTCCATACCCAGCACTGCAAAAAAAAAAAAAAAAAAATCCCAAATGATGACCACTGATATCATATAATATTTTGATTATTCTATATTTTCCATACCCAGGAGCTTCACAAGTTGTTATTGCCTTAGATTTAGCTAATTTCAAGGTTTCATTTGTACTCTTTTACAGGGTAAGCCACATCAAAGACTTCATTGAAAAATACCAAGGATCTCAAAGAAGTTCTCCCTTTTCCCTGGCAACGGCTCTTCCTGTCCTCAAATTGCTAGATGAGACACTCACAGTGGAAGAAGCAGATTTACAGAATGCTGTGATTATTCAGAGACTCAAAAAAACTGCCGAACCTCTCAGAGAATTTTCATAGAACTGATTTTTAAGAGACTAAGTAGAAATTTTGCAGAGAAATGACGGTTGTAAGTGGACATGCAAAAATGGGAGAGAGGACACATCAGATTCACGTGACTTTTGGTGTGAGTGCTATTTAACCCTCTTCTGAGGAAAAGAGTTTTGAATAATTTTAAGTTAAGGAAGTAACATGACTAGAAGCTATATTTAATGTACTTTTTCCAGAAGGCTACTCAAAAAGAAAAATATACTTACTTTCAAAAACCAGTTCATCAGGGCTGAGGTTGTAGCTCAGTGGCAGAGCACTTGCCTAACACGTGTGAGGCACTGGGTTTGATCCTCAGCACCACCTAAAAATAAATAAAGAAAATAAAGGTATTGTGTCTGTCTACAACTAAAAATATTTTTTAAAAAACAATTCATAACATACAGTATGTTAAGTAGCTATATCATTTAGAATATTAATATCGTATAAACAAATAAAAATATTCACTGCTTTAATCACTGAAAAATTTCCAAACAGCAGGTATTTATTTTAAATGTTAGCTATCACAAGAGTTTTTAAATAGCAATATGTTAAAAAATTATACATGGCAGGTTAAAGGCATCAATGTAATTATTTTATAACTGGGATATAATCGAAAGTGTAGGAAGATTAATTTGGCAACGATATCTAAGTTATATTTTTATTTAGGAATAAAATTGAGTATCTTAATATAATGTCAATATTAACATATCCACACATTTCTGTACTTCTAATTGTATAATTTTTTATTTTTACTTATCTTTCTTTTTTTTTGCAATGCTGGGGATCAAACATAGTGTGTCCAAATGCTAGGGAAGTGCTCTACTGAGCCACATCCTCAGTACCCTCTATCTTTTATTTAATTAGGAATGGATAGATGGATGGTTTTTAATTTTTTTTAGCAGGGTGGTGTTTTGTTTTGGTTTGGTTTTCGGTGCTGGGATCAAACCCGGGGCTCTGTAACACTGAACTACATTCCCAGCCCTTTTTATTTTTAAGACAGTATCTTGCTAAGTTTTGGAGGCTGGCCTCTTGCAATCCTCCTGCTTCATCCTTCTAAGTCTCTGGGATTTCAGGTATGTGCCACTGTGCCTGGGTAGGAATTTAATGTATCACGTGAAGTCAGTTTTTCTATTTCATATATCCCTTATGTATACATTAAAAGATTATTTATTACATTCTAATGTCACCAAAACATCTTAGGCTTTTAACTAAAACCAGTTAAACTTCAAAATTTCAATCAGATTAAAACCCCTGGCTTAGAAGTAAGCATAGGAAGCTTTTTTGCAAATGAATCATATCAGAGTATATGTTGAATGTGCTGTGGATTAAGTGGCCTATATCAACAGTAATGTTCATAGAGTGCTGGATGGATGCTGTAAGGCTTTTGGTCTCAAGACCTTTTCTTTTGTTTTATGTGGGTTATATATATATCAACAGAATACTAAAAAGTCAAAGTTTTTAAATTTACTTATTGGTTTATTTTTGTGACAGGATTTGGCTCTGTTGCCCAGGTACTTCTTGAACTCTGGAACCTCCTTGCCTCAGCTTCCCCAGTAGGCATGATTACTGTCATGTACTACAGCACTGGCTCCAAAAATTTAGTTTTAAAATATTTATTTAGTTCAGCATGGTGGCACAGGCCTATAATCCCAGCAACTCAGGAGGTCGAGGCAGGAAGATTGCAAGTTCAAAACCAGCCTCAGCAACTTATCTAGGTGCTAAGCAACTCAGTGACAGCCTGTCTCTAAATAAAATACAAAATAGGGCTGAGGATGTGGTTTAGTGGTCGAGTGCCCCTCAGTTCAATTCCTACCAAATTTATTTACTTAAAAATAATGACTTTGAAGCATGTGCCTGTAGTCCCAGCCACACAGGGAGGCCGAGGCAGGAGATTTGCTCAAGCAAGAGTTCAAGTCCAGTCTGGTGAACGGTATGATTGTCTCTAAAAAGTACAGGCTTTTTGACTTAGCAGTAGAGCGCTCGCCTCACATGTGCAAGGCCCTGGGTTTGATCCTCAGCACCACATAAAAATAAATAAATAAATAAATAAATAAATAAATAAAAAGTAAATAATGATAATTATAACTTCCAAAACATAAAAAGATTTAAGTGAGAAAATGGCATTTTCTTTTTCTGCAAATATCCTTTCTGTCTGACTTAATGATGGATTCTCTTTTGTTGTGAGGAGTTTTTGTTTAGAGATCAGGCCCAGGCCTGGCACGTGGTAGGCAAGCCCTCCTCTGTTGAGCTATATCCCCAACCTCAGACAGCTTGTCCTCTTTGCTTCTCCGTTCACTCCTGTAATAGCACACACCATGTAGCCTCTGGAAGACACCACCGTACATTTGTGAGAGGTGAAGCACATAACACCTCAGTATTACTAAGAGTTTTGACAGCATAACCCCCCGAATGGCTCTCAGGAACCCCCAGTGATCCTCTAAGATTCAGTCCTTTAAAGCAATGTATAGTTTACAATAATACTCAAGCCTTAGTGTAAGAATCATTTGGCTTTTCAAAAATGCCCATTCCTATCCCAGCAGCTTCAGAGGCTGAGGCAGGAGGATTACAAGTTCAAAGCCAGCCTCAGTACCTTATCAAGGCACTAAGCAACTCAGTGAAACCCTGTCTCTAAGTTAAATACAAAAAAGGGCTGGGGATGTGGCTCGGTGGTAGAGTGACCCTGAGTTTAATCCCTGGTACCAAAAAAAGAAGAAAAGAAAAATGCCGGGCTGGGGATGTGGCTCAAGCGGTAGCGCGCTTGGCCTGGCATGCGTGCGGCCCGGGTTCGATCCTCAGCACCACATAC